TGGCCTTTCTCGGCCTATTACGACCCGTATCCTCATCGTCCTCATCATCATTATCAGACAATAGCTCATCACGACGCTCTGTGCTTCCACGCCGCTTTGGAGGACGTGACTTGTTCGATTCCACCCATACGGGAGGTCCGGTCTCGTCAATTCTGGCACCTGCACCCAAAAAGTTCATCCAAGAGGGTGGCGCGCTGTTTTGTCGGCTCTTCCTCTGTTGATGTCTTGATGAATGACGATTTGTCCATATATCTGAGAAGGTAGCGTCTTGCCATGATAGATTAACCCTCTTAAACCGAACGGCTTCGTTTTCTTGTTCACTGATAGCTTGACATCCCGAGAACCTATATGAAGGTTTCGCTGTGTGCTGTGGTGACGCACGATTCATATAGACACGATCTTCTTCAACAGACAACCACGGTTCGCGCGATAAATCGTCCGCCGGAGGAACAACATCGGTCCAAGAAAGTTGTTCTGAGACGTAAGGGACGCCTAAGCAATTGATGGAACTGGTGTCGTCAAGACTGCCATGACTGGGACTAAGGGACTCGACATCGGATGTGTCCTGTACCAGGTCCGGCAGCTCAACTAGCGGAGCTTCAACGGCGGCCATGTTTGCTCTAGAGATGTAGCCAGATAGTCTCGGGAAAGCACTTCTAACAATGTGTAGCCACTTTAAAAAGATACAATGTATGATTGTCTTTCATACGCCTAACAAAGAGCCGTCGAAACCTAACGTAGCAAACCGAGGATGAAGCCGCAAACCCGCATGCGTAGAATGTATGACAAATGCACAACCATCCATCGACGGGATTGGTCAGCTAACTAGCCACGCCACAGCTTGCTTTGAGACAGCCTTAAGGCCGGTGAGACTCGGCGACGGATAAACTTGAAATGCTTTAAGGTAGGACTGATGGACGGACATCCGGGACTGGGAGCGCGATGAACAGCGTGCACGGCGGTGAGGCGCAAAGTGAAAGAACACCAGGAACACACATTTGTGTATCACGTTATTCGGGCGTAATTTGGGCAGCATAACAAGGGCAGGGAGGTGGGGAACACGGCACAGCCAGGCCAATCAGCAGACACAAAGCTCGGTGAGGTGAAGAGAGACATGCGCCTCAATCACACAATTGCGTAGGCTCTCGTGTTTCTCTTCTTTCATTGGCTGCAACCTGACTGAGGCGCAGGCCTCCTAGGGGCATTCTCTTCGCGCCTCACATGCACATCTGTGTACGAAAGATTTGTGTGTTTCGAGGCACGAAGACTCGGAGGCGCCTCGCTCTGAGGGGCCTGCCTTCCCTGCACACTTGTGTACACCGGCAAATGAGGCGCCGGGCTCGTGTCCACTCACACACGGCAGAGAAACAGGAGAGATGCCGCCCAACGGACCCATCCACCGGAAGGAGGGTAGCTGGTAGCACTCCCTTTCTCTCTCAGCTGCTACGTGAGCACTGGGATTTGAGGGTCTTTAAAGGGTTCCCCTTCATGCTCATCTCTCCTTTCTCCTTGATCTTCTGCTTTATCCCCTACTACCACTGCTCTGCTGCACCTGCTTTGGAGACTATACTTGCAAATATATATATATATTCAATTTCAAATCCCAGACCTCAATCGTTTACAATAACATAATAGCAAGCTTATATCCTGCTGCGCTAAACCTCCGCTGTCGTGTGGGCCTCATTTCCACACTGTCATTACATGAGAAATAATTGCTAAGACAAGATGATCAATCAGCTTCGCTTAGCACAGCAACAGTCCATTCATCTCTCGGCTCTTTAATTACCAGACCGCACCTTCACGATCAATACGCTGCTATAAACTCAGCTCTTACCGATGGCAGCTGGAACAACCCACGATGACCCCGTCACAGCGACCTTGTACAAAGAAGCACTCGACCTACAGACGGACCCTATTACATTGTCACGTGTTGCTGCAGAGCGCCTTTCCGCGATGACTGCCCGCAAAGTCAGCAACAAGCAAGCCGAGATGGATGTCTTATTGAGCTTCTGGGGTGAGACAATGCAGGCTGCTGGCAAGATTGCATCTGAAAATGGTATTGATGCCGAAACGAACAAGGGGTATGGGATGAGATATCATGGAACCAAACAGGATCATGAGCTGTCCAACATGGTCTTGAATTTGGAGGTCATTGATGGCTCGGTGTTTGTCGCGACGCTACCCTAGGGGAAACGATAGAGGCTGCAGAGACAAATTGGCATATGGTTCCTCGCATCATCTCAAGGAATAGGGACACAATGAAGCACAATGAAAGGACTGATATGTCTGCCCGTGTAATTAGATGTAGATGATCTCGCAAGGAGAAAGCGGAGAGACAGATAGAGTGGGCATAGCTGCACGAATATAAGACACTGGCTAAGCACTGGACTGCTTGCCTGCATTTCGGCTTTTCACTTTATGGGGTACCAGCCTCCCATCGACATATTTAGCTGAGCACAAATTGTAATTGACTTCTTAGAATGTATAGACTATTGTCTCTCCACCCTGATTGAGCATAAAAGACATTTGTAAGCACCTAGCTGTCACGGAAGCGCGGCATTAAGCTGACATGGAGACGGTGCTGTGTTTTATTCAGTAAGACACAACGATTTACAGATTGTATTCCTCCAGCTACCCTAAGATGTTGAAGCCATTGTCCCAAGCTTTGTCAGGCGTGTTGTCATCTTCGAGTCAACTAAGACTAAGATGTCATTGCAAACGCAAAAGTATGATGCGGAAGTCAATTTGTAGTGTATAGGCTGAAAGGAACCATCGTTCAATAATTATTGACGTTTTGTTGACCTTCAAGTTTCATACTTTATGAGTGCATTTGATCACAGGTGTCACTTGAAGAGATTGTTCCTTGTACAGTTCTGTTTAGCTTCCCGTAAGCCCGTTCGTTTAAAGCTTCTAGAGAGACGAATCTATAACGAAAAATAAATTAAATAAATAGTGACACCTAATACCTTTTGCCCTTTCCGTCAGTAACCAGTATCGTACAGTTAGTTGTATTCTTGAAATTCGTCCACAATTCGGCATTTAAAAAGCCTCCTAACATAACTAGCTAAATGATTCTGATGTTGCTAGAAGTTTCGTTGATTATGTCTGTTGCGCATAAATTATAAATGTCGCTGTCTTCCACAGTTTGATCTCTATAGTAGTCAGGCGGTTGAAGGCCAATGTCGAGGTCAACCCCAAGCCTACACCTTTATAATAAATGGCTCATTATAACTGATTTGGTTGGCATGAAAAATCACTGCAGTACGTGATAGAGCTGCTAGCGGCTAATAGAGTCTAGATTTTCAACCTTGGAGAGGCTCAGATGGAGTCGATACTTGAAATTTACTCAAAGTCCCCTAGACGGTAGCGATTTACTACGCGATGGGAGCATGAGTATCTCAAAACAAAAACCATTTGTTGTCAAGGTATCAGAATTGAAAAAGTCACTTCTATCTTATGAGGCATTATGTGAGCGTATGTGGTGAGTGTCAAAAGCTCACGCTTATTCATATAGATACACAGTGATCAGCCTCAATTTCTCTGTCTCGCTACTCAATGGCAAGTTAAGTACCATCACGAGTTACTACCTTAGCCTTCTGTGATCTTTGGAAGACTCTTAATGCAATTTCATCTGGCCGTACTCTCCAAAGCTAGCATATTGTTGCGGGAGATATGCTTCGATATGTGAATCCGTTAAGAGGTAGCAGGTGAACAAAAGCACACATGCTAACTCATACTATTGGCAACCCGCCGAGCACTCCCGATATCCAGGTAGGAACTGTTAGAGGGATCATTTCCACCTGCGCCTGACAAGGTTCATGTCAGACAGCCAGAATAAAAAGCTTTGATCTGATAATATTAGTCAATCTGATAACATTTAGCGAGTCCTCACAGGACGCTGGAGCATTCCGCTAACACCGAAAGAGAGTTAGGGTTAAAGTATTGGGACCAATCATACACGTTTCCGCCGTTTTCAATGGGTCCTCCATGCACGACAAGTGGGACTCTGCAACTAGCGAGCGGCTAAAGCGGCATGTGGCGTGTCCCTAGTTATGTAATTCGATGTTCCTTCACACTCTGAGCTCGGATTTCCGAGATTTTCATAGGGTAATCTACCCACATTCAACAAGACCAACATAGGGTTTCGTACGAGATTTTGATATTTGGGCTTGATCCTTCCGCATTGCGCCATTTAGCGAAGCTCCAATTGCTACAGACTTGTACGCGTAGGCTGCTTCGAGACCCTCAAGTCACGCTCCTCCTCGTCCCGTTGTCACCCACTTTGCCGTAGTCGGGCGCCACTTCTGCAAAGTTCAAGAAACCCCTCCCGGTTTTCGCTAACCAAAAGTTCAGTTCCACCATTCTAAGAGTAGATAGCCGAGCCAGACCCCCATAATTCTTCCCTCTCATCATTTCATAAGCACCATGCTGGTTCCAGTGGGCGAGCCGGTTACCGGAAAGATCACACTATAATCTCCTGCGTAGCACATCGACATGGTCATGCGAGGTTCAAACATGGTTCTTCTCTGACCATTGATCGTCTCGTGAATGGAATTCGAGACTCGCCCTTCTCGTGTAGCTTGTGTGAATAGCATCCTTTCTCGAATTCTCAGGTGTCCACTTAAAGCGCCCAGCCAGCTAGAACCCCAGCCAAGCCGTCATCCGAACTTCTTCACAGATGCATGGACTGGTAGATCACCAGATGGTCCCAGCCGGGCCGAGACTGCACAAACTAAGCTTTGCTAAGTGAAGAGATCTTTTGCGCTAACAGGGGGTTGCCACCATCGGAGCATCATGCAAAAAGATCTAATCTTATCAGACGCGTAGCATTCTCGAGACCCCTGTCAGCCCATCGACCCACCACTGACTAGACATATGCAAAGCGGCGAGCCCTACAAAGAGCTCGATCTCCTCTCCTCCTGAACATCTTGTGTGTGCTTGCGCTTTGCTTTTTCGCCCACCGATAGTCGTTTTGCAGCTCAACGGCATTACACTTCACAATGGGACTCTCACTGAGACCCGGCTTCCTTCGTCGCGGCAGCGATGAGATTACTCCCACCACGGACGACACGCCTGTAGCTGTCAACACAACCGCCAATGCTGACAAGGACGGAACCACGATCCCGCTCGATGATGCCCTCAAGGCCGATCAAGAAGTGCCTAGCGAAGACGCTCAGAATGGTGTCCGGGATATCGAGGCTGTCACATTGGCCTGGACCAAGAAATCGCTGATCAGTGTCCTTATTTCCGTCTGGTTCGTCTACTTGCTCAACGCTTTCCAGAGCTCCACAGCGGGCAATCTGGTTCCCTATGTCACCAGTGACTGGGGTGAGCACTCGTTGATGACCGTCGTGGACGTCGTCGCAAGCTCCATGACTGCGGCTGTCTTCATTCCTTTGGCCAAGTTTCTAGATCTGTGGGGTCGAGCTGAAGGATTTCTGGTCATGGCAGCCTTCTCAGAGCTTGGCCTGATCTTGATGGCCACCAGCAAGAACCTTTCCACTTATTGCGCTGCCAACGTAAGTCAATGCCAAAAAAAGTCTTACCCAGAGGAGGCGGCAGTAGTTTAATGAAGTGAGATGACAGGTGTTCTACTCAGTCGGCTTCACTGGTCTTATCTATAGCATCGATGTCGTCACCGCCGATGCGACCAATCTAAGGAATCGAGCCCTCGCGTATGCCTTCACCTCGTCTCCCTACATGATTTCTGCTTTCGCTGGGTCCTACGCTTCCGAAAGCATGCTCTATGACATTGGCTGGGGTTGGGGCTTCGCTACATATGCGTTCATTCTGCCCCTAGTATGTGCGCCATTGTACATATTGTTGAAAGTCAACCTTCGCAAAGCCAAAGCTTTCCATGTCATCGAGAAGGAGCCTAGTGGCCGAACATTGAAGCAAAACATCTGGTTTTACCTCATTGAGTTCGACGGTCAGTTATAGTGTACTCGCTTCTTTTGGCTCACCGCGACTAACTCAATTGATCGCGTTTTTAGCTCTCGGTGTCTTCCTCTTCGCCTCTGGTCTAATCATCTTCCTCCTTCCGTTTAATATTGCGTCTTCTGCACCCAACGGTTGGGCGACCGGCTATATCATTGCCATGATTGTAGTTGGATTTGTACTGCTGGTCGGCTTCGGCGTCAACGAGCTCTGGCTCGCCCCTGTGCCCTTTTTGAAGTTCCAATTTCTGACAGACCGAACTCTGGTTGGCGCCTGCCTTCTGGACCTGACCTACATGATTTCGTACTACTGCTGGAATGCCTACTTCACCTCCTTCCTCCAAGTCGTCAACTACCTGTCAGTTGCCGAGGCTGGCTATGTCAACAACACCTTCAGCGTTGTCTCTGGATTCCTTCTATTCCTGGTTGGCTGGAGCATTCGCAAGACTGGATACTTCAAATGGCTCCTCTGGGTCAGTGTGCCGCTCTACATCCTCGCCCAGGGCCTCATGATCTATTTCCGCAACCCGACAGGATATATCGGCTATATCGTCATGACCCAGATCTTCATCGCCATTGGAGGCAGTGTATTCATTCTCTGCATGCAGCTCGCTGTGCTTGCGGCCGTGGATCATCAGCATGTGGCAGCCGCCCTCGCTATGCTGAACGTCACCGGCACTGTCGGAGGCTCTGTTGGTTATACCATCTCGGGTGCTATCTGGACCAATGTTTTTGAGAATGCCTTGATCAAATATCTTCCTAATGTTTCTCTAGACGATATTGCCAGCATCTATGGAGATCTTGATGTGCAGTTGAGCTATCCCAAGGGTAGTGATGAGCGCATTGGTATCCAGAAGGCGTACGGCTATGCCCAAACTCGCATGCTTGCGGCTGGCACTGCTATTATGGTCTTGTCGTTTATCTGGGTGGCGCTGATCCGGAACTTGAATGTTTCGAAACTGAAGCAAACCAAGGGCAATGTCTTCTAAGCAAGAAGCTTGGGATATTCAATATGACAGTTCGACGGGTCTCAAGCATTGGTATCTGATACATTCATATACAGGACTCACTACGCTTGGACCAATAGGGTGAACTTGGTGAGCCTCGCTGCTATAAGCTCACCCTGGGTCTTTTTATCAGGGTGACCAAGGTTATTTCTGAGTGACCAACACGCAACTTGTCTGGTTCTGACAAATGAGTAGGAAGTCTAATCTACTAGGTGTCGAGCTAGTCAATTCTCTGAGTAGGGTTATGCTGATGCCTTGAACTAAGACAGCTCAGTTCTCTTTATTATTCAGTAGGGCAATACCAGACGGGATTATGACTGGTGACTGCTCTGTATGATGTCTTTGTGTAAATAATAGAAACCTCTCACAAGAATTATCATTCTTTCCTGTCTATCTGCGTCTCTAATACAAATTGCAGTGAGGATAAAGGTGCTTACTGACAAGTTTCATAGATGAAGGGTCTTGGGCGACGAGGACTGATTTTACAATATGATCCGCTTGTTATCAAGCCTGACTTCAATGAGGAATCTCTACTTCTTTAGGAGTTGGTCTTCATCAGACTAGACTTGATCCCGAAGACGGGCGGTATAGGAGCCAGTGATTCAAGGGTTCCCCTATACGGCGAAGTCTCATGGCATGCTACACTGTGGAGTCGTAAGCGCGTGATTTGCTAATGGAAAGGTCTATTCGCATTTCTGTCCAAAATGTACGCCCTATGGATGAACGATCAAAGAGGCCTTGCTCTAGTCAGCCTTACTGCAATATAATACTCTCTTCGCACTATGGTACTTGCTCTTGAACCGATAATTTGTCAAGGCTGACTAGATCTTTATTTCTCTGCTGATGCTGATAATAATGATAAGATCATAGGATCACTTCTGTAGAGTTGTTGGATGAGATAGGCATCGTAATTGATGAGCCTTGAAAAGGATAAGGAGCTGTCAGCTATGAAAAAGGGATGAACAAATTCCAATATATTGGTACAGTGTAAATATAAATCGGGATCTCTGGGGTTACAACGTTGAAGTTATCAAGAATAAAATTTGTTTTGTCGAATTTGAGTTACCCTCTCCTCTATAACAAGGCCTGATCTGAAACTTGTGATAGATTTCCCTAACCCCCTTGCTCTATTTTTGCACAACTGGGAAACTATGGAGTGTTTTGGTTTCTGATGTCGGATTTTTGAGGCCACTCCTATTCAATAGAACCTCACCAATAATATCAAAAGCGTTTCCAGGGACGCCTCCCTATATTTGTACACTGCTGTTGGTTACAGAGAAAAATTCTGTTAGCGCTCTTATACGTACGGAATTCTGAGATATTTTACCCGAAAATGGGCAATTTGAAGCAAAAGCTCTCATTGTCTACTATCTAAACTTTCCGAAGTTAAGAACTCATCACCTCTAGGGTAATCTTCAATGAACTGATCTCTGATTCAGATTTATAGGTTGATTACGCTCAACCTATGTCAACAGAGCATGTACAACCACTTTGCCATGGCATTCCCTCCTTAAGTTTTGCAATCGCTTCATAAAGTCTATACTTGATTCTCCCTGCCGTCTCTTAGACTTCTCGGAGAGAAGAAGCTCTCCCACATGAATGCCGCTCCATGGTAATATAATGTTTTCAACCCCTCTATCGAGATTTGCTGCGTTCACGTTTCGGATCTTCCCCTGCTCTATGAACCTATCAACAAGAAGCCATTTGACAATCCCCACAAAGTCTCGCGATTATTATGATTCCTAACCAGATCACATCTAGTTTCAGCTAATTGTGAGTAAGGAAATGATGACTCATGATAGTATCCATGCAACTCACGGCGGTAATGTGATTTCAATCTAGTTCATCTCAAAGGCATAGCCTATCACCATACTCTACAGCTGATACTTGAAATTCATGGAAGCATCTCCCCGGCTCTCGTCAACCAGTCCATCCCCCAGCATTTCAGCCTTCATTTTGTTCTCCCTCCTCAGCACCCACCACAACACCCACCACAACACCCACCACAACACCCACCACAACACCCACGTCAATGTCCACCCAACTCCAATACCAGCCAAACTGACTGCATGGCCAGTTTTGTAGTGAGGCGACTCCCGCGCGAGATGGATCTGCCCAGCAATAACACCACCCATATTTCCAATCGTCTGATTCATTGATATCGCCGTCGCCCGCTTATAATGTGGCGCCGTGTTACCATTCAGCCACGTGAGATTGAGGCCTGTGTAGACATAGCTGGTGAAGACAATGAGGAAGCATCCAAAGTAGTTTACTGCGGGGTTGTGTGTGCCCAAAAGTGTGGCGTATCCGGCAATAACAGTAAGGCTGAAGCTGAGGAGGATTGGGGCGCGCACTTGGAATCGATCGGCTAGATAACCTGCGGCAATGACACCAATGGCACCGGATATGTAGATTGGAATCGTAAGATACTGAGTCTGTAGACCTGTATTGCCGAGACCTTTGACGATGTTGGGCAGGAAGGTGCTCATAATGGGTAATGTTAATGACATTATGAAAACAAACCTATCGACTTTGGAGTCACTCACTGTATACTTGGGTGCACACTGAAATTTGAATGGCCCCAGAAAGCCAGCAAATTGGTGAAGTGAGGGCTGCTTTCACATCTACCCAAGAGAACTCTTCGTAGTTGCCTCGTTTCATAAGCCGCTCCTTCCCAGCCTTACGTTCTTCTTCGTTCGAGAAATAGGCAGTCTCTGGATTATCAGGGAACAGCCAATAGGTGGCAATGCCGAAGGCAAACGAGATGAGACCTTCAATGAAGTAAAGCCACCGCCAGCCAGAATAGCCACCCACTCCATCAAGCTGAGTCAAGGCATAAGCTAGGAGACCACCGAATGCGCCGGCCAAAGACATGGAGACCATCAGCAGAATGGCGCGCTTGGCAATCTCCTCACGCTTCCAGAACATAGACACGTAGAGGTTCAGGGAGGGGAAGAAAGCGGACTCGCAGATACCGAGCAGCAGGCGGCACACGACAAATCCAGCGTAATTTTGGAGGTAGTCTGCGACGAATTTGCACAGCTCAAGTATCCCAAACTAGTTAGACACTGCCGCTGCTTTGCTTAGGGAGTGCTCACCCTAGGGTTAGGTCTGCTCAGTCGTGGCTCAGGCATATAGACACGGTAAGTTGATATCGTAGGGATTAAGGCGTCTGAAGCCGGAAAACGACTTTGGGTCTTTGTGTTATGATGACTCTTTACCTCCACTTATGGGCTATTATGAGTCTGGCTACTGAGTCTGTTCTATATTGTAACTAGATATGATAGATTATTCTTATAATATTGATAGCATTGTCTCTATCATATCTGTGTTTGCTTCCGCTCCGACTTCTTGAAGGTCTGTCAATTCAGGAGGGATTACCTAAGAAATTATCTGAGCTAAGTCATGCCTACTATTAGGAGAACTAATGATATGCTATATTCCTATCTAAATAAGACCATTAGTAAATTATTGTGAGATTAGTATAAGTCGGAATTCCCTATCCAAATTCCCTTTCGGTACATATCTTAAAGCATACCAAGAAGTTTTTATATTACTTGAATATCTGACATACAGCTATCATCTTATACACTAAACGATATGGCAAGCTTTAAGGCTAAACGCTACAACAGAATGAAGAGGAAATAGTGCTCTGAACCCTCGTTGAAGACAACGATATGGAAAGCTAGATAAAGGAAGAGGAAAGAAAGAACAGCGAGCTTAAGGCTACCAAGTCCTTCTCTAGAAAATGGGCTGAACCATCGCCTCCATGGCATCAACCATCTCCTCCGTGACTACGTCAACAGATTGAAGAAATCGGAGCACATCAATGACCCATCCCTGGCAATTCTTTGTCACGGAAGCTCTGTTCTCCGCCTGTGGTGGAGGCACGGTATTAGCATAGTGATTCAGCCATGCTATTGCAAATCTTGGAGAAATATGCTCTAGAGACTAAAACAACACCTTTCTTGCCTTATTGATCGCCGAAATATCCCATTGTATTAGCTTCGTCCTATCCATCCAATGCATCCAATCAATATCTCGAGATGGTTTCATGATATTTGCGTACTCCCAGTAGTCTGGAAACCATCCTGCATTCTCCCAGTCTATAACCCCAGTGATGTGGTCATCTTTGACCATGATATTCCTTGGTGTGAGGTCCCCATGGGTAAAGACTGATATATCGGATCGGGGAAGCATCTCGGGCAGAGTGCCCTCATAGAGGCGTCCCCAGAAGTGGTAGTAGCGTTCATATATCCTTGCTCGCAGTGCTTCGTCGTCGAAGAGCGGCCTAGGTGGAGTCTGTAAGTCTTTAAGAAGAACATCAATACTTGGGGAGCCATCAGCGCTACACTGATAGAGATGCAAAAGTTCGGGTGGTCTAGGGATGTTCTGTAGCTGCCCAACAATACGCCATATCTCTCGACATATATAAGCCTTCGTCTCGTCGTTATATTCTCCCCAAACATTCTCTAAACTTGTTCCCTCTACTTTTTCCATTGATATTGACCCATGCTCTTCGTCTCCGACCATAAAGAAGTATGATATAAACAACAAGGGGATGGGAACATCTGTATGTTGCTTTACGAGTCTCATAGCAGCTACCTCATTTCTTGTGACTCGTCTGCCTCTCTTCTGGATGCAGCCAGGGCCGATTTCTTTGACTACAGCCCCGCTCTGCCGAGAAATAATAACTGGAAAGTTATCGCCACTCTCTAAGCAATGGAAGGTCAGTATACACGTGGTGCCTGCGGGAGATGGGGCCACGAACCGGAAGATGACATCGCGTAGACGCTGACAGACTTCGATGATGATTCGGAGGAAGCCATTCACTAGGCTTCAAGTCTATCAGGTATCTTGAACACGATCACGCTGGATTCTTGAGTTGGCATGTTGTGCTGTGTGAATCAGAGAAGGACGAAGAACTATGACTGACGTGTTGAGTGCGGCGTGCGTGAGGCATTGGAAGTGGGGCAGCTGCCAATCAGCAATCAGTCTGTTCCATGCCTTCTTATAGAGCTCTGCGGGGATGTTGTGGACAGCTGGAGACCGCCGAGATTCGCGTTCCGCTTCCTCATTACGATCTTCCTCAACCATCTCTTGTCTAGAATGTTCTAATTCATCATCGTCAATGGTCGGAGGCATTAAGGTGTTACCGCTAGCCATAATTGACACAAGGCCTGATTAGGTTGCGATCGATAGATAAATATATAAATGACATCGCTTTGCCAAACTAGTTGAAAATAGAGAGGTGCAAGACGAAACAGACAAGCCCGAACAATTTCGCGTCACGGAAGAGTCTCTTGAATTGTACCGTGCAACCGACCAGCCAGTGCATATCTAACTTACACGAGCTTAGTTTACACTTGGCACACAAGGCAACATGCACTACCAAAAGAGCTTTCAAGTGCGCGACTCTTCTTTTCAATGAACCTCACGAATACCTACAAGACAGATCATGTCTGATATCCCCTCCGAAGTGACATGATGGGGTGGGTGGGGGTCAAGGATACGTCGGCTGAGTCCTTGCCGCGCCCAAGTCCATGGATCCGGGTTACAGGATTGGCTCTCGCGGTATCGGCGATGGTGTGATGCAGCCGGACCGGGGCTATCCACGTGGGATGCATGCGATCGGTAATATATTCCAATTGATGATTGATACGGACTTTGACTGATACGAGTCTCTACACTTATCTTGTAAATATAGCATGGCGCATACTGACACCCCATCGTCATCGCCAAGGAAACTCCGCATCGCTATCATCGGTGGAGGTTTGGCAGGCGCATCTGCAGCTGGTGCCTTGTCCCGTCTCTCAGATGTCGAGGTGCGGCTGTATGAGCGCGCTCCGGCCGTCCGCGAGTCCGGAGCGCAGATCGCAGTGATGGTGACGGCGATCAAGGTCCTGCGCCGTATGCTGTCACCCGCCGCATGGGATCACTTCCAGCAGGTCTTATACCGGGGCGATAACACAGATGGCATCCATCATCGTCACTGGAAGACAGGCGAGATACTTGCCACAGCAGTTTCGCCCGATACGCCACGGCACATGCAGGAAGGCCGTGCCTCGCGGCCTCTGCTGCATAAGACGTTGATGATGGATGTGCCGGATGGCGTAGTGAACTACCAGAGCGAAATTGTCCGCTTGGAACCGCGGATAACATTGCATGGTCAGAAAGAGGTTGTGTTGCATTTTAGGAACGGACAAGCGAAGATAGCGGATCTTGTTATTGCGGCGGATGGATTGTATTCTGTAAGATCTAAAATACACATTTCGGCTTTGTTGTTAACCGACTCGGACAGAAAATTCGGAGACAATATGTCCCAGAAACAGATATCAAGTACAAAGGTCTTGTTGCATACCGGATCAACTTTCCGCTTGTACGAGTCGCGCATATCAAGGACCTACCCAACGACTCCTCTTCATTCCGAAAGGGGTCGAACGTCGTCATTATATCTCGCTTAGAGCCTGGAACGTATTCATTTGCTGCATTTCTTCAGGAGCCCGAGGACTTCGCCAACACTCTTAGATGGGAGCACGCTCTAGGGAAGCAAGGTGTAGCCAGGATCAAGGAGAAGTTGGTCGGCTGGCATAGCTTGGTGCAGCAAGTTGTGGATGCCTTGCCGGGGATCGAGGCCTATCCGCTTCAAGCCACGAAGTGGCTGGAGAATCTAACTAAGGATGACTGTGTGGCATTTGTCGGGGACGCAGCGCACCCTACGGCAGGAGGATGGGGAACAGGAAGTGCATTTTGCTTCGGAGACGTGTGGGCTCTATACCGCTCTCTTCATCGTACCCACGTGTCTCGACCCCCGACGATTGCATCAGCCTTGTCACCTTCGGCACGCCTAGCTAAGCCAAGTCCAATCCTCACAGACTCGGCCACAATACCATACGACGTGCCTTATGCTCTCCATCTCTTCAACGAGACTCGTAGACATTTCTTATTACGCGTGGAGCGTCAGTTCGAATACGATCGAGCTGATGGGGTGTATATTAGTGAGGCGCTGGACGACGATGAGGAGTTTGTTCGGAGATATCAAGAGCGGTATACGGTCAACTGGTGGATCTTACAACATGACGTTGATGAAAGGTGGCAAGATGTCGAGGCTGAACAGAGACATTTGTATACTCAGTCTAGACCAAGAGAGTTAAAGAGTAGAATATAGACTCATAAATAGACACTAATCGGTATTATACTCCAGAGACTTCAACAAGGGCGGGAATCGCAGAACAGCTAGTGGACGTGCGCCTCATTTCATGTTTGAATAATTGAGAGCGTAGGGGTTTTCGGTCCCCCGCTGACTTGTTAAGGCGGAATCAAGCACATTGGCTTCGTGCTGACTAAATCCGACGCACGACATTTCCCGTGTTAAGACTCCCCAGTCATATCATATCACTAAACACGAAACTATCGCAATGGGTACCAGCATCGACCACACGTTGAATGCGGACATGAGCCTCCTACCGGCCACGTTCTTCGAGTCACCCCCCAATGTCGAGCCGGGACCTGGATCTGAAGCATTCACATTATGAAATCCGTAGCATTCGTAGTGCTGCCAGACAAGATGCCAGAGAGCCCCCATGACTTGAAAATGCTGCGACTATATCCGGACCTGCAACAGACGAATCTGTTTGTGCTATTGAGGTACTTGTGGCTCTGGAAGGGTCAAACCGCCATAACTCTAAAGTTACCTAAGGGAGCCCGAATGGATAAAGAAACCAACTAGAGGTTAATGCGTGTCTCGTTCTTCTACTCAATTAGAATTTCGTCAATCATGATTCATGAAGTGTTTGCATGGGCTCAGCCATGGTAGTCGGTCGATCTACAAATTCTCAACCACACGGCAATAACCTCGAAACCATGCTGACAGTCGAATTGATACTGCGCAACTCTCCTCGAGAAGGAATTAATAAACCCCAGAGGAGAAGAAAAAGAGACCTCGACCAAGATCTATCAGGAACTGGCGCCAATGAAGACAACCAGTACTGCGGCGTATGCAGCAACGCACGACAAGACAGTCTCGGCTTTCATGTCCGAGGGGGCGAGTGACAACGCTATCGCAAACAACAATGTAGCTACAGTAGCCGTCAAAAGAGTGGTCAGAAGATCATTATGCAGGATCATGATGAGCATTGGTCCAATCAATGCTAGCCCTCCAGATATGCCCGCCCACAGTCGCTCATATATGTGAGCGAGGTTTGTTGCTATATACCTCTCGTGGCGCGATGTGCCAGGAAGGATAGGTTTTCGATCGTCATAACGAGGCTTATCGTTGTTGTAGGCGTCGGGAAAGCGTGTTTTTAAGACATTGCTCACCCTGCCCTGCATATTCAGATCCGGTATGATGTCTTTCATGAGTAACACGCCTAGAGGTTGTGTAGTTGAGATGACGAACGGATCCGCCTCACCAGCCCTTTTCGATTGCAACGTCTTCTCTACCATGAAGTCGTAATTCTGGACCGCGGAACCTAGGAAGGTTAGTTTAGTTCCTAGTGGAATGCTACAGAAGCTGGGCGCACAATAATCTGCTAACAGCAGCTTTGCCTTTTCCATCACCTGGTCCGGCGCTTTCATATTATGATGAATAATGCCCCCCACATCTACTAGCTGGCGCTGAAGATACACGATAAGCATTCTTTGTAGCGTGCTCAGGAAGATTTCATAGCCCTCTGGATGTTTATGCCGACGATCGCTAGGCCTCTGGCGAAATATGTGAATATCTCCGACGGCGTGTAGAACTTCATCGAAGGGTCGCTCGAAGAGTCCTTCATATATTTCCGGCCGACCCTGACCTCGGGTCGGAACGGGGTCACTGGCATCTGTGGGAGCTGCTTGCGATATTGAGTGTTCTGTCGAACGGCCTCCATATTTATTTGGGTCGACAGGTACTTCCTGCTCCTTTGGCGCTGCATCTGGGCTGACAACCGGGTTATTCTGGCTCATACCTTTCATGATTGTTGCTATCCAGACTGAAACATAACGATGTCCGCCCTCAAGCGGTCTCTAGAAGTGGATTTCCAACCCCATATAACCGTGCTAATAGAAATCAATGTACTGAATTGATAGTTCAGCTGATAAGCAGAACCAATGGTGTAAACACACGTATCAATTTTTGGCCCCCACACCCTTCACCCAGAGGTTTTGCCTGCCTTGTCTTGCGAACACAAAAAGGAAGAGGGAGAATGTTTGCTGACCAGTAAGTAAGCTAGACCGGAGGGAGATATAGAGTTGGAGGACGGCTGAGATCTAGGGGTCTGGTGTTCCCAGTTCAGGATACTCCTCTCCAATCGGATTGGACCTTGATGATTCCGGATGTGTATGCAGGACCTCGTACGTATGGCAGCACTTCACGGCCTTGCTTAGCATCTCGGTGGCTGAGTGTTGTTGAAGAGGCCTGCAAGAGCTCGTCAATGGCACCAGGCCGTAACACCAGAACTTGGGCTTCAGATTTACGTAGCGGAGTATATTTGAACATCAACATGCGCATGTACTGTACCGGTACATACAATGTGGTAGATACAGCATGGTAGGATGTTGTTGACCACCATTGTCTTGCAGGTCACTCCTCGTACGATAAAACAGATAATGTTAAGCCTAGCCTAATGACCTCAGTTTACAGGGCGGAAAATTCAAGCTCTCGCTCAAAGCATGTCTGAACGGCTGTTCTGATGAGCCAGGTGCAGTCATCTGAACCAAATTTGTGTTGAGACTCATGTGTTGAAGGTATCAGACCGGATTGGTCGTTATTCAAAGCGTAATCAGGAAGGGTTGCCTCGTACGAGTTTGTCGCAGCCAGGCATATTCATCCAGCCAGCTCAAAATCACTTGCATTGTCTCGTCTTCGGCTAACAACTGAGCCCCAAAGGTTAAACTAAACTAAATTCGAAGAGCGCTGTAGAGTCTCAAGGAACTCCTCCCGTCAGGCCTTGGGCATAATTGCACCGTCAGAGGAGTGCTACCGCTGGGCTGAAGCTGCCAATCGAATGTGCAACTATCTCATGCATGAATCTCGTGCCATGGTAGAAGACATATCTCGAGATTTCGACGCATGTGCTTCTACCTCTATTCATACAATCCGTAAACGCCATAAATATGCTACATGCATAGGTCCCATCCAGCGCCTTGCGTGCTCTATAATACTGATAATACACTCACTTGACAAGGTATCCCAAGACATCATTAGGGAGCCGCATCCCCATTCATCTTGACCATCTCGTACTCCCCCGCCCCGTCTCGCCCTCTCCCCCTTCCCCTGCCTCTTGAGAAGCCCTGCTCTTCGTCGCCCTGTGTCCCGGAGCCTCCTTCGCCAGCATTACTGCTCCCCTCACCATTACCAGCTGCGCCGTTTGCAGCAGCATTTCCGCCTCCGCTACCGCCAAAGGAGATGGGCCGCAACTCGCGATATCGACACCCCCACATCCCCAGCATGACAGCTAGACCACTTGACAGCGCCATGGCGGCCCACCAAGAGGCGTTGCGCGGGATCTGGCCTGTGTAGAGCGAGACGACGAGGAGATGTAGGAAGTGAACCGTCAGCGCGAAGTCGAGGACGAGTTTCGAGCGGATGACTATGAGGACGATAGCGAGGGCTCTGCGAACAGAAAGAGATTAGCATGCGCAAGGTCCTGAGAAATGCTTTCTTCTGAGAACGTACATGAACAAGCCTCCGTCCAAAATCCACAGAAAAGCAACCAGCCAGCCCTGCGTTGTGTCTCCTCTCACGGCAGACCAGCCAAACACCATGTCGAGCGTGAACTTTGTGCCGGCAACCAGCGTGCTGAACAGCATGAGCACCAGCGCGGCGACGTAGAAGACGGCCTGGAGCGCGGCGATCTGGCCGAGGATCTTGAGGGGCGGCAGCTCTGTCAGCGCGCCCGACCGCGGGGGTCTCCTCCGTCGCGCCATCTGTATTGTTGTCTGGTTCGAAAGGGTATACCTCGGGATCTCTCTGAAAGACGCTAAGAGATGTCCGGGGTCGTTATGAAGAGAATAGTCGGGATGAGGATCGCGCTACCTAGTGATCATGTCTTTCTGTTTTCTTTGCGACAGAATGCACCAGCCTCCAAAGGGGTCTCTTTCTCGGAAGCAAAGACAAAGGCGATGATGAATATTGTTAAGTCTTCGACGTAGGGTGTGAATGGCCGAATGCGATCGGGGATGATGTTGTTGTTGCCTAGCCAGTTGCTATCTCGTGATGGCGGTGCTGGTGTTGCTAGTCCTCATTATTTCAGTCAGTCAATAAGGAGAGGACCAGCAGCGCGGCAGAAAGCGCAACGTCAATCTCAAGGGTGCAGGCGCTAAGCCTTGTACAGTTGACCGCCTTCCATTCTGCCACTAAATTTCCAATGGCCGGCAAGCTCTCGGGAGCTACCTAGTATCACTCTTAGAGCTCCACCCTTCTAAAAGTCGACATCATCACGGAACTGCGGCGACGACTGTCTCTTTCTCACTCTCTTCATTCTCTTCTCTCTTGTATAAAAGAAACTGCGACTATAAATCTCTTCTGAAGAAACTCAAGACATACAAGCAAACTCGAGATCAATCCTCACCCTCGAATCACCCACCAAAGGGCTCCTCCGACCCCTCCGTCGAGTCCCCGACGACGACTCGATCGATACCCCCAGTCCAGTTCCTACCTTCCTCAACCGTCGACCAGTCCCCTGCCCTCCTTGCCTGCAACGAGCAATGGGCGTCTTCGACTTCTGGAAAGCCTCCTCCCCCGCGGACAAGCGCGCCGAGGAGGTGCGCAGCGGGGCGCGGGCGCCGGACCGCACCGAGCGCAAGCGCTGCTGGGAGGCCCGCGACGGCTACTTTGCCTGCCTCGACCGCGCCGGCGTGCTGGACGCCATCAAGGACGACGCGGCGGCCGCCAAGGCGTGTCGCGCCGAGGGCGCGCAGTTTGAGCGGGACTGTGCGGCCGAGTGGGTGAGTGGGCCTCTTCCTTTGATCTCTTGGGGCTCTTGTATTCTACCCTACCCTCCGCCCTTCACGGACGGCAAGTAGATGGGATGGGATGGGATGGGATGAAACGGGATGGGGGGTGGATGACAAGGCACAAGAAACGGGCTAACGCCGGCATCTCCAACAGGTCACGTACTTCAAGAAGTGGCGGGTCGCAGACTACAACAAGAAGCAGCGCCTCGCGCAGCTGCAGGCCGAGGGCGCCAACAAGATGGAGGTCGAGACCAGCCCGCGATGAGGGAGCCCCTATCCACTTCGAATCAATAATGTAAACGAGCTTCAATGCCGAGTAGGGGGACGGCGGCGAATTTAATACTGTATCTCAGTGAAGCAAAAGAACACGGCAGCACTGGGGAAACCCTCCTGGACCTTGTACAACTACCACGGCTGTACATCACATTACATTACATCAACATTACCTTGCTTGGTTGGGCGTTTCTGGAAAAGAAAAAAGAGAAGACTTTTGCTATAGGGGGTACCTAGGACATAGGACATATCCAACTCACATGATTGATGGTTTGCAATATATACATACTCTCCGACCTTACTCAAACCCCGGTACATCACAAGTGAAAATAGACCTGTTACGTGACAGGCTGGCATCACATCATCAATCTCGCACAAGCTCACACAGACACCCAGGACATTTCTTGTCTTAGTCTTGACAGTCATCCAATGAAGTCTATAAGGTATCATCGAAGCCATATACAACAATCAATGCCACCTGGTCCGTCCAGGCCTGGCCCCGCCACTTGGAACTCATTCTACTATAGCTATGTCTCCTCCCTCTTCTGCCCCAGCCCTTTCTCCTGCACTTCGTTCCTCTCTCCACACTCGGGTCTTCTCACTCCCCGCCATGTTTAAGCATCTAGTCGTAAGATAACAAGAATCCAGCCTCTTCAGTTGTGCAATTGTGCCGCCGCCCGCCCGCCCGCCGATTGATTGATTGATTGATGGTTAGAGAGACTGACAAAGGAAAAAAAGCCGAATTGATCTGATGTGATCTCACTAGACGAGGCACGCTGTGCCGTGGGAGATCTCAGGCGGTCGATTGTAATGTAACAGAGGATATAATCCCTAGCAGGAACCCCCGGTGTCGGTAAAGAAACGGGTTGATTAAGGGAAGAAAGTAGAAGAGGGGGAAAAAAAAACAATGAAGGCTGGTTTTATGCTGCTCGATGCTGTAGTGGTATCATGTCTTTCTTTTTTCGAATGGAGACCAAAAGAAAAAGAAACAGGAGACAGGGAGGTAAAAAAAAAAAAAAGGATATGGTCATTCGTCCACACAGGATTTCGGGTCGTCTGTTGCTGAAGCTCCATCCAGTCCTTCCAGAAGGCGTTATCACTGCCCTCGTATAGTATGTGTGATATGTATGTATTACAGGGATTTCCCGCCCTCTCCATGAGTCCCCTGATCCAGAATCCCATCCGGTTCGGACATGTTGAGACGTTGCGCATGGTGCTATGTTACGTGCTTCATCCAGCTCGTGGCAGGGGCGGCAGGGCCTTATCCAAACTCTCCCGACTGATCTGGTTCCGCATGCGCGCGCTGCCAGTCGTCGACGCCTTGGACGTCTGGCTTCCGCTCCGGGCTCTCGATCCAGCGCCGACGCCCACACCACTGTCTGCACTCTCGGGCTTCAGAAACCCAGGTCCGTATCCAGTCTTCGGTGGCGTTGGCGGTGCTTTGCTGCTCTTCCCGCTTCCGTGGGTCGCCAGGATCCCAGTCCCGAAGCCTGCGCCGTACTCCTCGCCGTCCTTTGCGGGGGTAAGGGGCCGCGCGTCTGAGTCGGTCGTCCGGCTGCTGAATTGGCTGTTGTGGCTGATCCTACTACCGCTTCGGCCCCCGGTCGAAGACGCCTCTGCAGCCTCCTCGAGCACTGGCAGTCCCGGGGGGTTTGTGGACTCCCGTCGCTCCCATTCCGGAGGGCCGTGTTTGAGGGCGGCCCCGAGACTATTCGACCCAGCCGCCGTCACCGCCGCCGCCGCCGGAAGTATAGCGCCTGTGGCTGCTGTAGTTGTCCTGAGGATGCGCTGGGGTATGTCCTCCTCTCTGCCGCCGTGCTTCTCGGCCTGGTGCTCGGCCCTGCGGATCGTCTCGTCGGCTTCGGGTGACCTTGCGCCGGACGCAAGAGGGCCTGGGGGAGGTGGAGGGAGATGCGTCGGCGCTGGGGGGATATTCGCAGTCGTCGACTTGCGACGCAGACTATTGCTCCAGTTGCCGGCGCGTTGAGCGTCTCCTTCCGATACTCTGGTCGCGGCAGCTTCCGCGGCAGCCCGCTCCTTTTCAATGGCTTCTCGCTCGGCCTCCTCGTGGGACATGGTCACTCCTTCGATGAAATTTATGAATCGCTCGCCGTATTGATGAGGGGGTAGGGCGGATATTTGTGTACGATCGCCGTACAGACCTTTCCAGAAGTGTTCGATCTTCTTGATGATGCCGTACTATAGGAACGTCAGCGGATACATTTGAAAGGCCGGAACTGCAAACTTACGTGTGTCAGACAATCGATCACTCCCAGGTAATATATCTCTTCCCCGGGGGTATTGTCTTCATGGGTTGCCCTCAAGCCACCGTCATCTTTGTAGAATATGAGATCGGACTTCTTCTCGTCACCCAGCTCTTCAGGCATTCCCCTGCTGCTTTGGCCCATGGGTATTGGTCTTTCTGCCTTGATCATCTGCCGTAGCTCCCGCGCCCTCCGCTGATTCTCTAGTTTCGACGGCGTTCGCATGAGGATGGAGTGAGGATCGAATTCATCCGAGACTTCGCCACCGGGGTTGAAGACCTGGAGAGTTTTGGCGCGGAGGTTCTCCTCGTTCCCCTTTTCCAGATCATGGACGCCGATCAGGAGGGAGTAATCCATGATCTGTAACCTCTGCAGCAACCGCACATCTTTATGCAGTTGTTCTAGGAATAGCCGCTTTTTCTGCAGTCCTAGCTCTAGATGTCGCTGCCGCCTCAGCCAGTTCAGGTCCTTGAGAGTCGCCCTCGGGTTATTCTTCAGATCGTCCTCCTTGTAATCTCTGCCGATCGTCGAACCCTTTAAGTCGAAGGTCATGTGAATATCTCGGTGTGGGGGAAAGAGGTTGTTCATGACCACAAAATGAATTTTGCGGCCAAAGGGCGTCTTCACCCTGTGTAGGCCGTAGAACTGGGAGAGCAGAGTATTCGGGTTCTCGGTGACGTGGTTGTAGTAGTCTTTCAATATCTTGCGAAGAAACCTATGCTCGGCGTGATGGATCGTTTTGATAATGTACTTGTAATCTCTCGAGAAGTAGAAGAAGCTGCCGCTCTTGCCAGGTGAGCCTAGTTCGGATAGTATATATTTGCCAGTGAGAGACATGAGGTAGTCGGCAGGGTCGAGTCGGAATAGAGCGCGGAGATGACGGAATACCCAGGGAGCGTAATCCTTGAACTTGAAATCGTATTTTGCGGATGGGACAAGCTCGTTGCCGGCACTACAGGCAAATGATTAGTATCCTTGCTGGTCAGCCATCAGGGGCACTTTTACTTACATATCAAAGGTAGACTTCTGCTTGGCCTCGAAATCTGCATCAGTCAGCTGGCGGTCCAGCTTCGCGTTTGTGCGGGACACGGCGACGCGAATGCCCGTTAGCATATTGTATGCGGTGACCCAGTTGGCATGTTTCTCGTCGACCTTGGTGCCCACGAGAACTCTGTCATCGTCTTCCTCCTCGCGCCTCTTCCTCTTGCTGGCCCTCTTCTGCCGGTACGCCTCCGCCCATCTCAGAGCGTCCTCATCTGGCAGTATCTCGTCGCGAGGCACCTCACTATGGAGCGATCGCGTCGTCCGTCTAACCAGACTGAGTGAGGCCCGCCGGCCGCCGAGCGGTGTTGAGGCAGCGGTGGGGGAGAAGCGGCCGCTGGCAATGGCCGAGTCCATCCCATCCCGTGATCCGCGGGGCGGTGCGAGCTTGGGTACCTCGAGGGTGTGACGGTGCTTCAGGCCTGCGGAAGGGGGATGCAAAGCACTAGGAGCGCCGGTGGTTGGGTTCGAGCCGGCGGGATGGTAGGCGGGAGGGGAGGAGAAGCGATGTGGTGAGAGTCTTTGTTGTTGTACATTGGGGTCCGGGCTGGGGGTTGAGGGGGCTTGGCTGGATTGGCTGGTAGCTGAAAATCCCGGAACGGTGCCGTTGGACGGGATGGTTGTGAGACCTGATGTGCCATTGTCTACGGTGGTGACATCTCCCTTGTTTACCTGCTTGATATACATCTCGACAGGAGACTGTTGGACGGAGCCAGCAGCCCCAGAGGAGCCAACAGAGGTGCGTGGGATGGCATCTTTGGGGCTTGACTCGAGGGGCTCGTTCTCTTTGGTGCCAATGGTCAGGGGCGGCTGCAGTTGTTGTTGTTGTGGTGGTGGTGGTGGATGTTGGGCTTGATGTTGAGGGTGAGACACTGTGCGGTCAACCAGCGTTGTCGTCGTCGAGATGCCGTTTGGCAGTGGCTTCTTTCCATTCTCTCCTTGCCTTATCCCGTTGACTCCTCCGCCATTGACTCCATTCGTTGCGGCGGGACTACTCATGCTCGGCGAGGCGGTCGAGTTTGAATCCCCATTGATCCGAGGTTTTGTCTCTGAAAAGGTTGAAGACTGTGCAGAGTGTGTGGAGGAGTCGTCGTAGCTGTCATTTGTCCTGTGGGAGCGGCTGGACTGGGCCTTGTAGGTGATTTGGCCGTTTGCCTTTTCGCGGGCGAGGTCGAACTCGCTGGCGGGATCGAGGCGGAGGATGCCGTTGACCTGAGTGTCGTCGGGCGAAGCGTGGCTGTTCATGAAGGTTGGCATCCTCTCGGGGGAGAGATGCATGAGCTACCCGGACGTCTTCGATGCTGGTGTTGCCGCCGCTCTTCGATGGTCTATGGAGCCGGAGAGTCGTGTCGTCGAGGGGGCGCGATCAGAGTGCAGCTGACAAGACTACACACGCCGGCCGAGGGGATCGTCACCGCCAATGGAAGAAGGCCTTCGCAAAGAATGGCCAGAAACAGGGGAGATTGAAGGGCTCGTCAATCCTGGCCCCGTTGTCAAGGCAGCCCAGAAAAAGCTGCTTGATTGAGGTTCAGGGATTGAATCGACCTGGGGGATGGTGTCGTCCTCGTCCTAGTCGTCTCTGTCGGTGGTCGTGTATACGCGATGATGGGGATGGATGATGATCGGGTGAGTGATGCTATTGCCGTTCGACCTAGATACTGCAAATGCTGCTATTGGTGGAGTTGGAGAAGGAAGGGAGACGGGGATGGAGACGGAGACGAGGAGAAAGAGGCGGCGGACGTGAGGCAATTCGCAGCAATCCGCATCCGCATCCGCATCTGCATCGCTCTCCTTCGCGCTCTACGCCAGCATCCTTTTTGCGTGCGTCCGCTAAATCGTTGATGTTCGTTATCGCTAACTTTTTTGATCGTCGTCGGTGTCGTCTTCAGAGTCTCTAATGGCGATTGGGAGATGCTGAGATCGTGAGTCGTGGGCTGAAAGCGACGGGGATTGGAGGAGGAAGATGAGGAAGAATAGAGAGTGGAGAGTGGAGAGGAGGTCGTCGTTGCGTTGTCGTCGCCAAGTTGACGAGATTGCGAGTTTTCGGGCGCCCAACAGCCACCAGCACCAGCCAGCACCACCCAGGACTACAGCATCAAGCACCTACCTACCTTAGGTACCTTACCTAGCTAGGTACCTAACAGCACTATCATAGTAAGCACAGCGAAGCCAAACAGAAAGGGAGGCGGCGGGCGGAAGGCCAGAACCACCCCTAGCCCCTAGCCCAGCCACTTTAACAAGCCAATGTACCCTTCATGCACACTACAGCACAATTACTGTGTATGGGCCACCTAAAATACTTGCATGGTATGAGTCGGGTTAGCACGGGGGGTGAGGGGGCGCTAATGCTACCTAGGTAATGCTGGCGGGGGGGGCCACTTGCAATTCTCAGCCCGACAGGCACCAAAACACCAACTGAGCGAGACCGACCGCTTGGATCGCCCCCCCCCCCCCCCCCCNNCCCCCCCCCCTAATAGCGCATCCATCCAAATCCATCCATCTCTTCATTTGGTGTGTGCTACCCTCACAACAGTCTCTTGAATTACTATGGACAGTACATGTAGTAGTAAGTATCATGATTATCGTGGTATATCAACGGTTCTACTTGATATAATGAATGGAGACGAGATAGAGCTGCCGATATAGACCTCGAGAAAGAGAAGTTGAGCCGGTGAAACATTGCTATGTATGTATGTGTATATATACATGCATATGAGATATGAGAGTGGAAGGCATATCGAAAACGAAACAGGAACAGAACGTGGACTCACAGCCCAGACAGACCTGGACTCGTCTAATTCTATCAATATCTCGATTGTCTCATTTGCATTCAGCAGTCAATCAAATCTCAAATCCTCCAGAATTGCGGCTGAGAGTCAAGTGTCTCGTCTCATTGGTGTACTTGCTGACACATCACCGCACAGTTGATGGATGATTTGTGTTTCTCTTCTCTACAGTCCTGTTCGATATCGAACAGTACATACTATTCAAAAGAAAGAAGAGTATCCCGTAGCAAGTCAGACCCTGCAGGAGAGCGATATGACAGATCATCATGGCAGGGCACACTATGTAGTATGGCACGGCATACATGCATGCACAGCGGTGGCAGGGACTCACATGCACTAGGACAAATATCTACGAGGCGCAGCATCAACACCCGTATTTCCGGGATTCCTTCTCCCTGGATCCCTTATTATTAACAAGACCATCCGGGATATTCGAATAGAACTTGCAGCCATTGACCGCTATTCTCTCTTTTCTCTATAGCGTCCATGTGATGACGACCTGTTGAACTGGAGTAGAGTACTGTAGACTGTGTAGTCTATAGTGCAGGTTACAACGCATGCATGAAGTTCTCCACGGGCCCTGGCAGCGATGGCAGAGAGTGACGATGATCGCCGTCCCCTGAACCGAACCAAGGCCAGGATACAGGATGATGGGTTTTCCTTTCCCCCCAAAGCGGAACATTCCTAGGTATGAGGTCATCATCCTGGCCTTGGTTTGGTTTAGGGGAGAACAAACGACCAGACAAGAAAGGGTTCATCCAGACGGGAAAGTGCCTAAATGCAAAATCATCCAGTCAAGCATACATCAAGACCCTGGATACCGGTATATGATATATATCATAACCTAACCTGGCATTTCAAGATGACGCAACTTTCAAGATTCAACATCTCCAAGTCATTTGTTTGCACATTATTCTGTGCTACAGACTACGGCAGATAGACACTCTTCGCTCTCGGAACACTCATTGATTTGCTTCAGTTACTGTACTACTAAACAGAATACCTATAGGCAGTCAGGTAGTTGCCATACTGCGTATGACCTAACCCCCGAAGCAAAAACAAGGAGCAAGGTCCCCCGGGCACATTGCCGTCCCTCCCGGCGCTGGGTGCTGCTTCTTCCTGCTGCCTCTCCCCCACAGCTCATTTCGCGAAGACGCGTCTCGCAGCCAATCTGACCGTCTCCTCTCACCGAACATGCAGCGACTCGCACGCGCCAAGTGCCTTCTTCCGTGCGCAGGGTCCTCGCCTACTACGGGTACTACCTTTTTTTACTATTTAATACCAATGAGGCTGTGTGATTTGAAAGCGGCTGCCTCGGACATTATATGTCTTCCGCCACGCCGGCCCGTCTGTGCTGTTGCATCCCCTAAACTACCAAGTACATACATCATGGGGGTGTGTATACGTACGTACGTCCTTTCGAGAGAGGCCTCATCATGGCAAAACGATGATTGAGTCTGATGCTTCTCTACGTCTCTGCGTCTCTCTGGCCTGTTGGTGATGGGGTGTGTGCGCGTGCGATTATTGCTATGGTATGGCATGATCGAGCTATCACATGCTAGAATGGAAAATTACCTTGGTCGACTTTTGCCACGTGGCTGGGCGTGCAGAGATGCATTACCATTCTTAGGAGATTGGTATGGTTGCATCCCCCTGACTTGACCCTTGGACAGGACAGAACAACATAAGATATCACGTTCTCGTTGTCGACACTTCAAGGCGGAACAGGAAGGATGAACATGCTGGACGTGATAGCATTGGATTTCTCGATAAACCATTTTCCATCTCTTCTCCAAGTAAACATGCGCCTCACTTTACAGCACCCCGTAGTATAGATGTACAGTAACATGTAATACAGACAGATAGCAGTACATCAATAGATCGATCAATCCCCTTAAGCCCCCGCAACCACCGCAAGCCCATTGTAGATCATCCTCTTGACCGCGTAGAACGTGCCCCCCTGCTGCATCGCCGGGCCCCCGTCCGTCGGCAGCCCGATGCTCTCCAGCTCGATGCGCCCCGTCGCCGACTTGCGCACCGCCACCGACCCGTCAATCAGCAAGATGCCCTCGCCCCGGAACTCGGCCGTGTGGCCCGACGACTGCATCGCCCGCCGCAGGTCCGTCAGCCGCAGGTCGCCCACGTGCAGCGGCTGTGCCACCGACCGCGCCGCCGAGGCCATCGTCGTCGGGAGGACATCGAGTGTCGGCACGACCGCGCCGGCCTCCCCCCCCTCCTCCTCCTCCTCCTCCGTGCCGTCCTTGGCGTCGCCTTCCTCCGCCGTCTTCTGCCTCTTGTTGGCGCCCTCGTCGTCGCCAATGGCATGCGGGTGCTTCTCCTTTTCGGCAGCTTCCGTCGCAAGTAACATTGCCGTGACCGTCACGATGCCCAAGCCCCGAACATTCTGCCACTTCAGCCGCCTGACCAGTGGATCAGCCAGCTTGACAATCCAGGCGTTTGTGTCCACGCTAGCATCCACCGAGGCACCAACCGCAGGCGTCAAGATGTCGACCGCATTGCCGTCGGTCGTGCCGATAAGCTTTTTGCAGTCTCCTGCCAGAGCCAGTGTCTCTTCCTCGCTGCCAGAAACGAGAATGAGTTTCCGCGGCTGGATCAGGGGTATCAGCATGGTCAAGCTTCGCTTGTCGTGAAGGCCGCTGAAGTCGACGAATGCGATCCGCAGGTTGATGGCGATCGTCTCCTTGGAAATGGCAAGCTTGGAGGGCCCCAGCAGCTCCTCTTCCTCTGGATCCTCTACGCCGTCCAACTCGTCAGCAACACCAGCTGAGCCTTCAGACGGAAGGAGAACATCAATGTCGTCCGAGACTGTCCTAGTAGGCTGCGGCCGCTTGTTCGGTCCACCGGAACCTCCCTTCTTGGCACCAATATCGTCCCATTTCCGTTTCTTCCCTAGACCTTCCTCGTTCGAGCCCTTATCGCCTTGAGCAGCATCCTGGCCATCCGCCTCCTCTCGCTCTTCTGCCCTGAGGAAGTCTTCAGGCCGTATAAGCTCACCAAACTCATCGTTTCGTTTTCTCCTGATGGGGATGGGGAACATCCTTTCTCGTCCCCTCTTTCCACGCACATCGAAATCGTACACACCCTTCTTCTTCAGGAGAATATTGATACCCAGATCCTCGTCTTTCAATACTACTTTCTTCCTGCTTGCTTGGCCCATCGTCGTCGAGACATTCAACGCCCGTCCTTGCTGCTCGGTCTCTGATTCCTCGGATTCCGTAGAAGACTCCGAAGAAGCATCATCAACTCCATCTCCAACAGTTTCCAGAACAGTGGCGCCGCCACTCTGCAAAGTGGCTTGAAGCTGCCGTTGTGTTGCAAGCCATTGTTGGTAGAGATTTAGTTCGGTTCCCTTGATAGCTTCCCGTTTTGCTTCTTCAACCTCCAGCTCACGGCCGCCGCCGAATACCTGCTCTACTGTGTCCCCGCTGGTAGTTTGTTCAGTAGCAACGCCGTCCTGTCGCTCATTCCACCATTGCCAGAGGGTCCTTGCAATGGAGGTCTTTTCGTTAGATGACAGGTTGGGCTTCTCCGTCAATACGACAAGGTTCTTGGGATCCTCGGCAATGGTTCGAAGAATCTGCTTAGAGAATCCCCACTCCAAGCTGGTATCACTGGCAAGAATAACACGTCCGGTTGCACTCCCATCTTCGGCAGCCTGACTCAGCAGGCGCTCAATCTGGGCTTTGCGTTCGAGCAGTCTGAGATACTTGAAATCAAAGGGTCCAGCTTCCTTGCCTTTCGTCCCCTCAGCGTTGCCGTTTGCCTTCTTCGCTCCTTCAGCAAAGACTTCGAATTCCCGAACAATGCTGTCGTCCATCCACTCAAACATGCTTCTAGCATGTCGCATTGTGCTGCTCACGCTACGGCCGGCCAAGTATAGCTTCGCCGTCGACAAAGCGCTTCCGTTCCCGCTAGCATCAGTCCGCCAGGCGTGCTCCATCAGGTAGGCCAGCTCCAGGACTCGCGCGCTCGAATCAACGGGTATGAGCACCGTGCCGCCCTTCGCGACACACGCCCGCACGTTGTCCAGCAGGTGCTCATCTCTCTTGGCGCGCGAGAGACTCGCCGGCGCGCGGCTGCTACACACGAGCGCTGTCGGCTTGCGGAGCTGTTCGATGACCTCGGCTCCCCCGTGCCCGCCACCCAGCCACGCGGCTCCGGCGAAGACATTCTCGCGCGCCTGGTTCCAGTCCACGGCGTAGACGATAGATTCTAGGCCGTGCTGTATGTGCCAAATCGTTCCTCCGAGAGTGTGACCAGAGTTGTAAGCCGTAATCTGGAGGCCGTTCAGGGGAGGCGAGAACGGTGAGCCAAGGGGCTGATGTGGTTGTGAGTACTTGAGAGGCTGGATAAGGGAGAAGTATCGAGCAATCTCTTCGGAAGTCGGAGCTTGGCGCAGGAAGTTGTGCTCGCCCGTCTGCGGCTGCGAGTATGCGTAGGTTGTCTCGGCGAGCGCGCCGTGGGTGATGGTAGTAGCCGCTGCTGGTGTCGAGGCGTAGAGGTCCTGCAGAAGGGTTCGTCCCAGGTCAATGACCGGTCGTGTCGCGTAGACTGGGATGCGGTTGAAGAGAGGAAAGTTTTTGCAGCAGTGTGCGTATGCAGCAAGGTGAGAGACAGTCGCATGGGTAAGAAGAATCAGCGATAGAGTAGGGACTTGTCTGGAACGACATTGTCAGTGGCCGCCGGCGCATTACAGCTCCCCGTCCCAAATAATGAAGGGATCAGGGCAGTAGAGGAAACATACTTCTCGAGCTCCTTGAGCTTCTCCACGTCAAACGACTCGTCCCAGCCAACATCAATCAAGACCTTGACGCCGCCATCGAGCTCGAGGAGGTGCTGCGATGCCGTCGACTCGGAGAGCGCTCCTTGCAGGGGAACAAAGGTGAACATGGTGGCTGTCTGGCCTTGTTGATCACCTCACAGGCATTGTAAGCATCGATTGGTAGTGCAACAGTCGAATCTACGACGATAATCAAGAAAAGATGGTGTTTGAGTGTTCTTGATGTTGTGCTGGGAATCTTTTCTTTGTCTGCTAGAGATGCTCCCTTGTCGCCTGCAGTTCGTAGCTCTGGCCTGGTTGGGTCAAACAACGGAAAGAGCTGAGCATCGGTCGGTCGTGCCTGCCTTTCGCGACCGGGAGAGAATGGGAAGCTGTGATTGGTAGGCGCATCGATTGGTGGGGAATCTGACTTGCAGGAAATTTTAGCGGCTGTCTGTCCTCTGTTCCCCTGGAACCGCCTGAGCAGTGATATCATCGGCCGATTTAGACCAGATTCTAGGGAACGTCTAGGCGCTTCAGAGGTGCCGCTTCAGCGGGCCTGGGCCGCTGGAAATGCTAACTTACGGTCCGTTCCATGCGCGTTTCGGCCCCGGAAAAACTAGCCGGAAGGATATCGTGTCCAATTTCACCCCACCACGAATTTGGCCCAGCATCAATCAAGCTGCCCGCCATAACAGCGAGAAATCTCATACCTCACCTGACTTCAGCATATCATTCTCACCGCGTTCAGTCTCATCTCACCTCAACTCATATGAGGCTTTTGAGTGAGTGAGAGAGCGAGCGAGCGAGTGAGTCTGTGTGTCCGTCCAGCGAGTGAGCGTATCAAAAGACGCCATCACGACCATGGACTCTCAGGGGTATTTTCAACAGGGTCAACCACAGGGCCAGAGTCCCCAGCAGCCAGACGATGGCCTTGCTGCCCAGATGGGAGGCATGTCGCTCGGGGGAGAGCCTCATCATGCCAGGAGGAAGAAGAAGGACAGGCACGCCTACCACACCGTCGAGGCTACAGGCTCGTCTCAGGCCTTCAACGGCCTCCCTCCACCAGGCACGCCCGCCACAGCCTTCTTGAATGCCGATCCCTCAGGAACTACCGGATTCGTGGGGCAACCTGCCATGTTCAACCCACAGCAGCAGCAGTTCGGTCAGGCCAGTCCTCAATTTGGCCAGCCAAACCCCGGCTTCCCTGCACCGGTGAACCCTCAATTCATCCCTGGCAGCACTGCTTCTCCGGCCGAGTTTGCGGCCAGGAATGGAGCCGCTCCTGAGCCGTCTCCCACTTTCGTGCCAGCGAACAAGGTCTCTCCTGATGAGGTGCCCAGTGTGCCCGTCTCTAGGGACTCTGTGCAACAATACTACCTAAACAACGTCTATCCCACATTTGAACGCCATGTCCCTCCACCGGCTACCGTCTCCTTCGTTGCCTTTGACCAGGGCAACTCATCACCAAAATTCACCCGCCTCACCATCAACAACATCCCAGCCACATCCGAGGCTCTTCACAGTACCGGCCTTCCCCTTGGACTCATTGTTCAACCACTAGCGTCTCTGCAGCCTGGAGAGCTTGAGATTCCCGTGCTCGACTTTGGCGAGCAGGGCCCACCGCGATGCCGGCGGTGCCGAGCTTACATCAATCCCTTCATGATGTTCCGCTCGGGTGGAAATAAGTTCGTTTGCAATCTCTGCACCTATCCCAACGACACGCCAGCAGAGTACTTCTGTGCTACATCCCCTCAAGGCGTTCGTGTCGATCGAGATCAACGGCCAGAGCTTTCCAGGGGAACAGTTGAGTTCCTCGTTCCGAAGGAGTACTGGACTAAAGAGCCGGTAGGTCTGCGCTGGCTCTTCTTAATAGACGTCACGCAGGAATCTTTCAACAAGGGCTTCTTAGAAGCGTTCTGTGAAGGCATCTTGTCATCACTGTATGGAGCTGATGAGAATGACGAGAGGGACGAGAATGGCGAGATCAAGCCGAGGATACCTCCCAATGCTAGGGTTGGCTTCGTGACTTTCGACAAAGAGGTTCACTTCTACAATGTTAGCTCAACACTCGAGCAGGCCCAGATGATGATAATGCCAGACGTGGAGGATCCATTCGTCCCCCTGAGCGAAGGGCTTTTCGTAGATCCTTACGAGTCCAAGGCAGTCATTACTTCGCTCCTTACCCGACTACCACAGATGTTTTCCAGCATAAAGAACCCCGAGCCTGCCCTTTTGTCAACTCTCAACTCAGCCGTCTCCGCCTTGGAAAAGACCGGAGGTAAAATTGTGTGCTCGGTATCTGCCCTGCCGACATGGGGTCCAGGTCGTTTGTTCATGCGTGATGATGGCAAGCACCCAGGTGGCGAGATTGACAAGAAGCTATATACAACCGAACATCCAGCTTGGAAGAAGCTTGCTGAAAGGATGGCATCGGCAGGTATTGGTGTAGATTTCTTTATGGCAGCGCCAAATGGTGGCTACCTAGATATTGCCACGGTTGGCCATGTCTCTGCTGTCACCGGCGGAGAGACTTTCTACTATCCCAACTTCATCGGAGGCAGGGATAACGCAAAGCTGTCAATTGAGATCAAGCATGCAGTCACAAGGGAAACTGGATACCAGGCTCTTATGAAGGTCCGATGCTCAAACGGCTTGCAGGTTTCCGCATATCACGGCAATTTCATCCAGCACACGTTCGGTGCCGACCTCGAGATAGGGGTCATAGATGCCGACAAGGCAATCGGCGTTACTTTCAGCTACGATGGCAAGCTGGACTCGAAACTCGACGCTCACTTCCAATCTGCGTTGCTCTACACAACAGCAAACGGAGAGCGCAGAGTCCGATGCTCGAATGTGGTAGCCAGTGTGAGCGATAATGCGAAGGAAAGCATGAAATTCGTGGACCAGGACGCCGTGGTGTCAATCATCGCCAAGGAGGCCGCCAGTAAGCTGGCCAGCACCTCCAGCTCACTGAAGGAAATTCGGCAAAATATTACAGAAAAGACAATCGATGTCATTGCGGGATATCGCAAGAACTACGTGTCACAAAACTACCCGCCTGGGCAATTGGTTATGCCAGAGAAGCTCAAAGAGTTCTGTATGTACATGCTGGGCCTCATCAAGTCAAGGGCATTCAAGGGCGGCAGCGAAACTTCGGATCGACGTGTCCATGAGATGAGGATGATTCGCTCAATAGGTGCCTTAGAGCTCAGTCTGTATCTCTACCCGCGAATGATTCCGATTCACAATCTTCAGCCAGAAGATGGCTTCCCCGATGAGAATGGATATTTGAAGGTGCCTCCCTCAGTCCGGGCATCATTTGGCAGAGTGGAGGTTGGCGGTGTTTACTTGGTCGACAATGGACAAATCTGCTTGCTATGGTTTCACGCACAAACGTCACCCGAACTCATCAGCGATCTATTTGGGGACGACAAGACATCCCTCCAAAGCCTGGATGCCTACACCTCCTCGATACCGGTTCTGCAAACCCATCTGAACGCCCAAGTGCGGAATATCGTTGAGTTCTTGAAGACCACGCGCGGCTCGAAGGGTCTTACGATTCAGCTCGCACGACAGGGTATCGACGGTGCCGAGTATGAGTTCGCGAGGATGTTGGTGGAGGACCGGAACAATGAGGCTCAGAGTTATGTGGATTGGCTTGTGCATATCCACAAGGGCGTGCAGCTCGAGGTAAGCTGAAATTCAAAATTAGACTCAAACTGTTCCTCACGTACTGACGTGATGATTCACAGCTGGCTGGTCAAAGAAAGAGGGAAGACTCTAGCGAAGCATCTACGCTTTCGAATTTCGCTGGTCTAAGACCATCATATTGGTAGTGTCTAGGCTCTGTCGAGCGTCTGAATCAATGGAAGCTCGCCACCTCAGTCAGCAGCTCTGTGATTTGGCGCAACCGGCGACAGCGGCAGCATAGATGTGAAGGTTTGCATATTGTTCATGGAGTGGGTTAGCGAGAGGAAAAATGAACAGTCTAGCGGGCAAGCCTGAAACGGCCATCGGTTTAAAGCATGTAGCAATATCTGGAAAGAAAGAAATATACCAAAGTCCGTCCTCCTGGACGCCATACAATCACTCATGGCCATGGCAGCAGCTCTAGTGACAGCGGCACGTCTCTTCTCAGCTTGTACGACTTCAGCGAGTGTCCGAAGTTAGGCCGTTAAGCGAGAACCTCTATCCCCAGAGTCAAGCCAAGCATTGACCTTGATAGTGGCAGATTTGACTGAGGACCTTGAGACAGGTGAGACATGCACACCTCCGGCCAAGTGCTAACGCCTTACCTACGTCTCAGCTTAGGTCCCGCGGTCTAGCCTGCCCCAATCATCATGAGACCGATCTCCTCAGCTTTGTTGCGAGACCGGCTGTTTACAGATGTGCGTGGCCGCATCATCATCATCTCTTCTCACAAAGACAGATCAAATTATCGATATCGCCGAATCTAGTCACAAATGATAAGTCAATCATGAAATCCGCGCCACCCTCTCAATGAGGCCCTAACTTGGTATGGTCTCTCTCGGCTGTCTTTGATTCCGAAGCCTCGGGGCAGGTGCTGCTAACCGGATTCGAGGAACGCGAGGCTCTTTTCTTCACCGCTCGGGCGTAGTTCCGGCCCCCCTTTGTTGGCGCTTCCGCCTCCGCCGCTCATTCAAACGGTTTCTTAGTTCCTTCTCCGGGACACGCAACTTGCCTTTCCGGGCGTGGGATGCCCCTTGGTCCGTCGGGGAGGCTGAAAGGAGACGAGGCGTCGGTCACGCCCGCGTTTCGCTGGGGGTGCTCGAGCTAATGCAACTGCATGCACCGTAGATCACCCAGGATCAGCCAGAAAGTGGGATGACTAGATGACCCGTCGAGTGAAAGTGGGAGGATGTGGGTGAGGGAGCACTCTAGGTCTGCGGCGAGGCTTGCGACAGGAAGAATGAAAGAGCCTTGAGGCCGTAATATCCCGTTCGTGCCACCCGGCATGTACGATGAGTGTGACTCGATCTCAAACCTTGTGCTACGTCGAGTGGGGGGCTACAACATCCTGGGGGAAAGGCGGTGGTGTTACTTGACACAGAACTGGCACCGTGTCTTGGAGGCTGCGCAGGAGAAATCTGTCAAGGCAAGCCACACTCCACTCGAGGCGTACGGTGTAACGAGACCTGTCTCTTGTTGATAATACTCGACACCTGGTGCTTGATGGAGCACTTACTCATGGGACATGACATGAATGCTGGGCAGTGATGGGATCAAGCAAAGCTAGGCATATCTGAGCATTTGAGGTATTACAAATCGGTCTTCACTATCTTGCAGATGGCGTTCATCACTTCAAGCCTCTTTAGAGAAGCTGAAGCCACACCCCCACGGCCGAAGAGGGCGCAGGAGGCAACAAAAGGGATAGCTTAGATGCAATGGGTAGGGTATCCAATGTCACTCACGCAGCATCACCATATTTGTTGGCAGCTGCCCCGGCGGGTTGTGGGCGAACAGTCGTCGGTATTCGTCTAGCCTCACCGGTCACCGCTCGGGATGAAATCGGTGTGCCAAGCATTGCATGGAGGTTGGCCCCATTTCCCAAGAACGTATATGATCCAGCCAGTGCCCGAGTACTGTTGGTTGATTTCAATGAGAATGGTCATCGGATTCTTTGATATCCGGATGATCGTCGCCCTGGATCTTGAAATAGCTCAACACCGTCGTCGATCACTTGAGCGCCGCAACCCCTTTGAGCAAGTCTCAGCTGTCATATGGGGACGTGCATCGCGACCGGCTTCCTCGACTGTTAGTCATTGGTCAGGAATTGATCTGGCATCGCTAGATCTGATCTTGTCATATTTTCTCCATCAGAGATCCATGCCTTCAACCGTGTCTCTGAAACACGTCAATACATGTCACTCGCATTTTGTCTAAGGGACGTGAGTCTCCGCGACAGACTTTCCATCATCGCCATCGTCATGTTCACAATGTGACGAGAATAACGATTTCATCACCATTACACCTGCCCAGCAAAGGGAAACGCACAGGGTCATGACACCCTGACGCGAGCCAATAGCCGCTATGCTGCAGACTTTGACACAAACAGACTACGGCAAGCCACCGCAGATCACCGAAGCGAAACAATTATGTCTCACACCAACCAATGCAGCTAGGGTCCTAGATAGTCGCCCAGATCCTGCACCATTGGTGCTCTAAACTACCTACAGTACCGAAAACAAGCGCTAACTTGAAGAGTGAGCCTGTATCATTGCTTTTTGGGCAGGCTGACCAAGTCGTCATGGGCCCCCGGATTCCGGGCAGCGCAATCCGCGCACAGAAAGAATCAATGTGCATGGTCCAATGTACTTAATTAGGAATCTAAACTCGACGGATTTGATATGATTCCGTCATCCGCTGACCGGTGAGGGAAGCTAGCGAAAAAGAGACAAATAAAAAGTCGAGAGCTGGAGGAGGAGGAATTGTGCCCCCAGCCTCACCGTGAAATCTGATACAGGAGAAGTCCCCAGCCACACGCTGCCCATTTTTCTATCAACACCGCCCCCTTCATTCGACTCGAAAAGGAAGCAACCCGCGAGAGCTGCTCTGTAATTCCCTTTCGGATGACACAGGAAAGAAATAAAAGGAAAGAAACAAAAAATCAAGTTTTTTCGGTGTGTGGCTGTGACGATCTGCCGCCGTGCGTACAAACTTGTTCCCTCTCGGACAAACTGGTGCGTAAATGATCAAGCCTACGCTCCCTTTTTGGACGGCCCCTGCCCTACATGATGAGGTTCCCAAGACCCAATCGGGGATCTGGTTGACTCAGAACCCTTTGAATCTCGCTCGGATCGAAGACGTGCTGGAAGATCTGATAGTCTGTCGGGTAACCGGATGAGGCGCTCGAGCTGCTGGACGAAGACCCAGATGAGTGGCTGCTGCTAGACGACTTGCCTTTTCCCTTGCTGCTACTGCCGCTGCCACCTTTGCTCTTTTTGGCGATATCGTCCAGGATCAGCTTGGCCGTGCTCTGCGAGTGGTCCTCAAAGACGAAGGCAACCGTCTGGATCCGACCGCGAAGCACGGGGTCGTAGAGTAGAACCTCCCTCCATAGCTCGGCCAGCTCCTGCGGGGGGTTGCGGTAGCCATTGCCGAGGCCAAAGTCGCCAATCACCACGCTGCTGATGCTATGCCATGCGCAAATGGTCAGCGCGGCGCGCAGCTTGTTCTTGACCAGCTCTCGCTCCTCCTGGAACGAGTACTTGGTGCCATTCTGGTTTAGCTTGGGCCACCGCTCCGGCGGTACCGACACTACCGGTAGTGCTCGCCAGTCCTCGGGCGCTAGCTTCTCGTACCTGTCGTGCGGGCCCCGGAAGACAACTGAATGTGGATTTGTTATCAGATGTGACTTTCAAGCGTAGCTTGTGCTTATGGGGCTGAGCAGGGAGGGAGGTAGGTGGTTAGCATACCAACAGACTCGGAGTAAATCCCGCCCTCGATGGGAATGGGGTAGTTGCAATCCACTCCACTTCCCGGCTCTGGGTGAGATAAAGTTGCCGAAAGATTGGATCGCCGACATAGCCTCTCTTCGTAGCCAATGACTCCAGTCTATCAGACCAAAAGATCTCGTCAGTAAATTCCCGAGAGATCACCGCTCGGAGCCAGGTCCGTGGGCCCGATCGCGCGCGTCAGGGTTGCTCACCTCCCAGTCTCCGCCAGGTCTCTTGTCGTTGGCTGCGCAGATGAACGCAACAGGGGTCTCATTCATGGTAGCCCATCGTATGGCAAAATCCACCGGGTCATCATTGTAGACATCTGTGAGGCCTGTCAGTATGAATCCGTCACGATATTTGTGAAATTCAGCAACAACCAACGCACAAAAGCTAGGGGGCGCGAGGCTCGTTGATCGTCCGAACTCCAGATTGCATGGGCGCATGTAGAGTAGCGAAGAAGTCTTCCATGTATCAGAGTAGTTCTTCTTAATGAGCGGGATGTAATATTTCTTGGTCTCCGCTGCTACATCTGAAGGCTTCGGTTTTGAAGACTTTGAAGATTTCGAGCTTCCTGAGGGCATGGCCGATATGTCTGGTGGGTCGAAGTATATGGAATGAGAGGAATAGCTCGAATCCGTTTTGTACTACCGCTGGATAGTCTGGAGAAGTGAAGGACGGACTTGAGTAACTTCGGCGGAATTACGATAAAGCATCTGAATAATGACATTTGATCAGGGGTAGGAGATCAGGCACTAGCCTGATCTTATATACATTGGCGCTATGATGTGAAGGCCGAAAGAGACGACGTAAAGACAATAGGGTTGCGGCCGGTAGACGCTGGTATGTTAAAAAGGTGTGTCCTATCCCCTTGGAAAAGAAGCGAGCGTTGATCTGAGAAGTGAACTTGTACCACCAATAAATGGGCTGGCTATCCACTCTTTGTCTAGGACAGGAGTAAAAGGCAAGCCCGGGGACTCGAGATGGACTTTTTCCGGATTATTATAGACTGTATTGTTTTTTGTCCGTTCCGTCCTTTCAGAACATATCATACTTATCACATTGAGCCAGGGCGCGGCACCGAACGGTACACTACACCGGGAAGATCCCAGGTTCATGGTAGATGGAAACATGGCTCGATCTAGTGAGATTGTGTGAATGAGGGGCGCCGCTGCAGCTTCCCGTCAGTGTACAAGATCTGTGTAAGGTCCAACAGTGCCGCCTGCTTGAGACAGATTACATCCCCCATTGGCCAAGGTAATTGAAAAAGATCCAGTCCATGGGCTGAGGGACTGGCAATGTTTTGCATCTAGCGAGAGCTAGAAACAGCAATAGGCAGAGAGGAAGCAAAGAAAAAGAGGAGAGACTCCTCGAGCCGCGCCAGGAGAAGGACGAGGAAAGGCCGAGAACACGCTCATAAATCCCGTAGTTCACGCATCTGGGAGCTGTAGAGAGAAAGAGAAACACGTCAACCCGGGAATAAGTCACTCGAGACTTCCGTGAGGCGGTTGCAAGTGAGAATACTAAGCTTGGCTGCGCAGGCAAGTCCGTGTCGTCAGGCTTTCGTGCTTGTCGTGATTAAAGACACCTCGTGACTCACCGGTGCCGCGCCTGTCACTTAGAAGCAGATGAAGAAAGATGACAGTGGACAAAAGGATGTTGAACATCCGTTCCCAGCAAGCCAGTGTGTGGCTGGAGGCCAAGCTGCAGTCAAAGTCCCAAGAACTCCGCAAGGATGCCGTAGGAGAAATGCCGGGTCCACGGGGCGTCTCCAGGCGAGACATTCCGGCGCAATCAACAGCACGGATCCGGCATAAAATTCCCTGTGGCTTGCGTCTCTAGCTGTCCAGCTTTGACAGCGTAGCTAATGAGCGGACCAGAAATAGCAGCAGCAATGTCTGGAAAATGATCAGCCGGGTGAGGCGCAAGGACAGGGTAGGTCGGTCGGATCATGAAGCGCAGCGTATAGCAGCCCGCGATGGGCAGATCAAGCGCATCTAGTGTAGCTCATGATGCCGGACTAGTCTTCAGCCCTAGCGCAAGGGGGGATGCGAAGAGGCTGAGAGGAGCTGCCGTGTGCGGGATCTGATCTGATCTGATCTGATGTTCTCAAGGGATGCTTGATCTGAGCGCTGTGGTACAGGCAAGCTCCTTGTATCTCATGCCGTCGACCGCTGCCTGCGTAGCATACAGTACGCTCTCCCTCACAACTGCCGGATTCCCTGCGCAGTTCTCATGGCACCGGAAACTGCCAAAGCCAGGTAAATCCTCATTTATGTAGGACTGTCCTGAAATCCTGGTGCTCATGACTGGCGAGTATCGCAGAGAAGAAGGAGGAGCTTAAGGCTGCAAAAGAGGAGAGAAGGGGAACAATCGGTAGCGCTCTATCACGTGACCATGCGTACTCGGCAGGCAAGTGAAGGCCGAGGTCTCACTCGGATGAATGATCCACCGACATCGAAATTTATCAGCCATTGGAGCTCCCCTTCGAGAGAGCTTCATGATACAAAGCTCACATCATTCATCACGAACACGGAAGACGCCTTATTCAAGCTTCCTGCGCAATTATGTGGCGCCAACCAGCTGTCCAAATGCTTGTGAGGTAGCTTGTCCGGTCAACGCTCTACGAAACACTCCCGAGGATAAGCCATGCGACCAATCGGTCTTACGCGATGGGCCAGGCCATGGAAAGACATCAGACCTCATTCCAGACCCTCATCATGCCGTCGCTGGGTGTCTACAGAGGCGCCTAAATCAATCGCGAAGCTCCTCGAGTGGAAGCCGAAGAGCGAGGCTAACAATGCCATCGTCAATGGCTTCGTGAGATCCATCCGATCAATGAAGTCCAACACCTTCGTCGCCATCGGGGACGGTTCGTCAGTCGCGCCTTTGCAGGCACTCGTCCCTGCAGCTCAAGCTGAAGGGTAGTGGCCCAATGCCCCGGTATTCCTGTCTTGGGATCATCTAGAGCTGACACACCGCTACATACAGCCTGGCTATTGGGGCTGCCGTTCGCCTGGGAGGCTCATGGGTCCCTTCCCCTGGCACCGGCCAGAGCCACGAACTACACGCTCAGGAGGTGGACATCCTAGGGCCATCCGATGCCAAGGTACGCACTCGATAGTGGCCCAGCTCGTACCTTGTACCAACGTGGCGGAAGTGACTCATCATATCTCCTTAGACATTTCCCATTCAAAAGAAATATCAGACTCCTGAATACCTCCGTACCATGCCCCACCTACGATCGAGGACTCCTTTCAACTCGGCTCTCCTGAGACTTCGATCCCAGGTTATCGGCAGCTTGACCCAATTCTACGCGGACCGAGACTTTGTCCAGACACAACCGCCAGTGATCACATCGTCGGACTGCGAGGGCGCTGGAGAAGTCTTCACTGTCTCTCCCGCCAACGAAGTACCGGTTCCGGAAGGGAACAGCGAGAAGGCAGAGTCGTTCTTCAGATCCCCCAAGTATCTGACTGTGTCGACACAACTTCACCTCGAGGCATTAGCTCAGTCTGTTGGGAACGTGTGGACACTGTCTCCTACTTTTCGTGCAGAGAAAAGTGATACGTCTCGGCATCTGAGTGAGTTCTACATGCTTGAAGCAGAAATGAGCTTTGTGGATGATATGGTTCACGTCATGAATCTCTTGGAAGACATGTTACGACATATAAGCACAAATCTCTACGAGTCCAAGGTGGCTCAGGAGATCCGCTGGCGCGGCAAGGGCAGCTCGTCTGATCTTGCTCCAGGAGACGAGGTAGACGGGCGCTGGAAAGGTCTGATGCTCCCAGAGTGGCCGCGTCTGACGTACACCGAAGCAATCGACATTCTAAAGGAGAAGGAGGACCTTTTCGAGCACACGCCTGTCTGGGGCGCCGGCCTTCAGTCTGAACATGAAAAGTATATCGCCAAGGTTGTCGGGGGAGGACAGAAGCCTGTCTTTGTGACTCATTACCCCCGAGACATCAAGGCTTTCTATATGCTCCCGAGTCAATCACCATCGGGCCGATCTGGCGCTGATATACAATTACCCGGCACCACCGTGGACTGCTTTGATTTACTTGTTCCAGAGTTCTGTGAAATCGCGGGCGGCTCGATGCGTGAGTACCGTTTAGCACCGCTGCTCGAAGCCATGAGCATGCATGGCATTGTGACACCGATCTCTCCATTAGAAGGTGCTGAAGGATTAGACGGGAGCATGAGCGCAGATGCTCAGGGAGGCAGTTTGGAGTGGTACGTCGACCTACGGCGCTGGGGTTGTCCTCCCCATGGAGGTTTTGGCCTTGGCTTTGACCGATTCCTCGGTTACCTCTCTGGTGTGCAAAGTATCCGAGACGTTGTTGCCTTTCCTCGCTGGTTCGGCCGGTGTGACTGTTGAGAGAGACACAAAGTACCGGATCTGAACTCTATCGGACCTCCATGTCTTGATGCTAGCTTCTTCCTGCTATGCGGTGTTCGTTAAGGCTTACCTACCTGGGTCTCGGAGACACTTTTGTGCGACACTGGCTGCCATCACGCTCGTGACTCAACGCTGGCAGCCGATACCCATGGCCTACTCATGGAAAAGATCGTCTATGCAGCCTGCCCTCGAGGTACTTTGTTAAACGAGAGACACGCCTACGGTGACACGAGGAGGCTTGCATATGACAGGTTTCGAGGGTCCTTCGGAGCACCCATTCACCATGCGGTCTCCCGAGCCTTTACGGCCTTACCTGGCCCCAGGCGCGCAAGGCTGCGTACAGGCTGGCAATTGCAAAATTGTGGATTGCCCCGGACACGGCTCCCTGCCTCTTGAGTGCAATTCAAATCGTTTTGGCCCCCAAATCAGGCTGAACGGAGACTTGGAGACGGGAACCGGCCGATCACTTTCCAGGTCTTGGGAAGCGGCAGCAGAAAAGGGAGCTCAATTTCAACGGGAAATACCCTCAATGTACCAATATCCTGTGTACGATATTACGGCGGAGATATGTACTGTACTGTATGATGTCTGATGACGGTAGACTAGATGAAGGCCCGCGTGTACTGTACACCCATCTCGATAGATTTTCAATTGTATGTTCACTGGCACTGAAGCTATTTCACACAGTATCACTACGTTACGTTGGTCGCGCACAGCGTATCTTGATAGTCCGCTCACCAATCTCCAACGGTTGGAGACGCAGCGTCAGATCCTATCTGATTGCGTTCTTACATTCTCTTCCTGTTATCTCAAGGCGTGTCATGCCCTCGTAAGGCCGACTTTCCGCCATGGGTCCCCATTGCTCGTAAGAAACCCCTAGTACAGTAATAGGGCGCGCCCACGATGTGGTGGCCGCCAGCTCCCGCGCATTCGCTCTCTACTTCACGAGCACGGCGCAGACACTGGGCAGTTCGGTTAACAAAAGACGTTTCGAACGGAATGCGGCGCCACCTCGGCAGATATTGCACACATCGCTCTATCTCTAGCACTCTGCTCTAGCGGCCCAGCTTCAACTTATTTGGATGCACACCCATCCGGCGCCCACTCTACCTTATACGCAGTGCAGTAAGCACCGTCTTATAGGGGGCTCCCGAATAGCTGAAGCTGGCCCGGATTCAGAGGTCCCGTCCACTGCTGCCGAGCCGGCATCATTGGCCCTGGCGTATCCTTGCCGCCCTCGTCATCCATCCCCTCCAGGGCACCTGGGTAGCCTACTTGCCTGGTGTTCGGGTGGTGTGCCTCAAACTTTAATAGGTTATCCAGACGTCCTCATGCAGCCGCCTCAACAGCCGAAAGGGGGGGCACAGGTTGTTATACTTTGTCCTCGGACTCGGGGACGAGAAGGATCGACTATACGGAGGCACGGCGGACGCAAGTCGGCACTCTCTTCGGGCCCTCGTCTGTGATGCACTGGTGGCCGTCGTTGGCGGAGGAGTAAACGAACACGAGTTGTCGGCTTCTTGTACCTAGATTGAGAAGTATGTATCTGGACAGACAGAGCGGGCATCAGTCCGGATCGGGCAACACGAGGAGGATCGCTGACGGTTTGCCATCCTGCGTTTGTGACAGCCCTCTGCTTTTGGGTGCGTGGTGTGCACATCACACATTAGGTCTCTAGATGGGAGTATCTCAGCGGCCTGACAGTAGAGGCTCGCAAGATAGTGTGCGTGTAGATGGCCCATGACGCATGCGGCAACGGGTTATCAGTCCTTGTTCCCCAAATGCAGCAACTTCGCCGTGGATGAACGATCATGAGGACCTGGAGGGGGCAATGATATCTCCCTTGAACGGAATGTATAGGTACAAATGAAATCGCAAAGCATTCATGTCGACATGGCAAGAGTAACTCTACTTCACGACGGAGAGAGCAATGTAGAGAGACAGAACAATTAATACAGGGAGGAGTATTAACAGCACTCACATATGCCGGTGCGCCAGAGAGGTAACGATTGCCATTGACCAGTCTCTGGGGCAAGGTGTGGCGTTGATTAGAGTTGATTGCGAGAATTGAAGCTTAATCAAGGTTATTCAAACTTGATTAGATGACCCGCATTGCATCCTTCCCCATGATGCCATCTGGCCGTCTGTTCGTTCCCCCTTCTGATCTGAACCAGAACGAACGGGGAGATGCAACCCTGCCATCCGCAGAGCTGCACAAGAAATGGAATATGGGCAGAAGTAATTCGAACCGTTGGTGATGACCTACTCTTCGCTGCTTTTCCCCGCCGTGACACTTGGAGATTGTCCGCAACCGAGGTCGTTACATTGGCTCGTTGGTTTGTCGAGCAAGCTGCTTGCATGTCATCTCTACGACCTGCATCTGCAGCGTGGTTTTTCGGTGCCGCACCTTGGCAGCGGGTGAGCTCTTTGCCCGGCTGTCTGATTGCTATTGGTGGTCTGCACGGCTCTTCCAACATCAGGTTACAGGGCCGGTAGATGATCGGTCCGGCTCGAGGTCCATGCCTCTCGACACATTTTCTCTTCAGACAGCTTTCATCATGACTCCAGCTCCCGCTGCGGGATGCATGTCCGCCACACGCTTCGTAGTGTCGGTCACAGGCTCCATTAACAAAGTAGACTACACAGACAGCAGGTTTGCGATATTCGCGAGCACATTATGCAGGGATTTGGGGCGGATCCACAGTGCGTATGTGCAACAATCAAGCTTAAGAGCTGCCGAGAAGTGAAAGATGGGACCAGAGCCAAGCCAAGACAAGAAATGGTAAGAGAGCGTCAATCGAATCATGCATCCCACACAAGAAGATATCACGTCTGGCGCCAAGCAACCCGAGGTGGGAGAGGTCGAATAACAGAGCTTGGCAGCGGGTGCAGTTGTTGATTCTCGGCGGCTCAGTCGGCCATGAATGATGATTTCTGTGTCACACATGCCCTTCCCCATGGACGATCGCACCCTTAACAGGGGACATTTTGGAGATGATCAGACGACATTGCGGCTCTCATAGGCTCAGGCGTTGTTTAAGAGTCGGGCCATATGATATGATGAGCAATGCCGCCTCGTCTCAAAGCCTTCTAGAAAGGAGCACGTGTGGGCATCGTCGTGGGCTGTGGTTTCAAGAGTAGAGCTTACATTTTCATGCGTTGCCGGTATGCCACGCCGTACCAGGGAAGCCCCCTGGACACGATGCCTTCAGGGGGGTATAGGGCACCGCTTTTATCCACATGGGGCGGAGGATCGTGACGAAGCTTGTACCCACGGCATCTCCAAGACTATCTTGAGTAGACGAAGGCTCATCTCGAAGATCATCAATAGTCAGTCAGGCGCGACGCCGTACGTAAAGCCGTAAACCCGCGCAGTGGAGTGGTCGAGATAACATCACGGTTACGAGCGAGGTCGACCCCCTTTTCCTACCTCTTCTTGCGTGCTCGCTTGGCATGGACAGCCTACTGCGTACTAGATGTGCTATTAGATGTCACAACTGCGGCTAGTTGTAAGTTCCGCTGTATCTCGCAGCTCTCGGAGACAGCAAGCGCCAACAATGAATGGTCCTTTCAACGGTCGCTTGTACTGTAGTTGGTGCAGTTGGTGGTGCTTGTCGCTCCGCTCGTTCCTGTCTCTCCCACATCCCATTGAACCTTATGCAGCAGGAAAAGCCGGCATCGATAGCGTCTGTACGCTATGTGTGTGTCGCCATTTGCGCGTGTGAGCTGAGATTCCGAATTTGCCGGGCTTCCATGATGGACTGTGCATGGTGAGCAATTGGTGGTGTGGTTGGTGTCAAAAGGGTCAAGAGTACAGTGACTCGCAATTATCTTAGTAGTAGTTGGTAATTAGTGGAAGGGGTTTAGAAGGCTATTGCCAAGTATCAACTGCTTTAGACTAGAGTAGACGGCTCTCTTCTTTGATGGACCGAGTTTAGTGAGGCCGCGTCAGCTCTGCAACCAGGGCTGTTTTAGCTTCAGTGGGATCCGCAAGAGGTCCCGGAGGTCCCTCGACTTTGTGTCGGGCTTTACTGCATAGTAGTCAGGGTTGCCAGACCTCCTTTGGAGCCGGCTCCACACTCTGAGATGCGCATCCCTCGATGGATGGATGGATTCGGGGGCGTGTGGAGCCAAGCATTCCGCCAAGGGCTCGGCCATGATCCCACGCACGCAGGTTGGATCTTCTTTCGGCGTCTGGCAAGGCCAAGCGGGCGTTTCGGGGCTCTGTTCAGTTCTGGAAAGGCGCTGTCTGAGATGGGACCCTTGCCTGATTGCGCCTTATGGCTGTGATTGAAGAGGCATTCGGTGAGCTCAACGCGTCACAAGAGACAAGGACAGAGACAGAGCGATGAAGAGAGCACACGACAAGCAAGCCACTCTCTATCTACTATACAGTAGCTCGCTACGACCCCAGTGATTCACTCAAGCGACTCGCACGTTGGATGGATGGCTGGCTCTGGGCGAATCAAAGGACAGCCAATAGCCAATTGATGGCCCCAGCAAGCTCAAGCAAGCCCAGCCCAGCCCAGCCGCCGCCTACTACGAAAGGGAAAGTGAGCCGTGCGAAGGAGGCGTCGTTTTGATTGCGCACTAAAACCCACGAATTAAGCTTAAGCGGTGTCGAACGCTTCGTCGGGACTTGGGGGCGGCGGGAACTGGCACGCCTTTATCTCCAAGACGCCCGTGCGTCCTCCTCTCTGTCATGTACTGTACATCGACCAGCTCTGGTCACTGTACCGCGTAGTGCTGTCGTTGTACAGTACAGCGGCTTCCTCCGTGTTATTGTGTCTACACCAGGGCAGGATGCTGCAACTGTCATGCCAAACTCCATGACTTACTTACACACGCACGCGCACGAGATAACTCAAGCACACTGCATGGAGATGGGGTGCATCAATTGACTGACAGACTGCAAAGATCAACAGTCAACGAGTCTGAACTGGATGTTAGTGAGAGTTCTTCGCCGCTGTTGCGCCGCACTCGTGGCCGCCCCCTGCATAGGGCGGCCGTCAAACATTCAAAGATGACCGACCCTCCACCATCACGAAGGGGGGATCCTTCGG